GTACAGATCGGCACAACATTGTGAGAAGTGAGACAAGGCAGTCCATTCATCAGCTATTAAAAGGTGTTCTTATTAAGAGGCTGACCCATAAAAAAGGAGCCAAAATGGAAGACCACAACAGTAGTGAAACAGCAGGTCAAAAAACATACTATACTCAGGTATACTCAGACATGTATAAGGTTTTAAAACCGACCCATGTCGAGGAATAATAAAATGATTAGTAAGTCTTTTGGGTGTCATCTCATATAGCCCTGCTAATGTTGACACTGTGGTTATTTTCTTTGTATTATATTGATAAACTAACAAAGGAACCTTGTTGCAAGCAAACCTGTCGTGCCATCTGATCTCTCTTTCCTGTGGGTGGGTTTTCCTCCATGTGGCCTACCGCTGCTGACCTTTATAGAGTTTGTTGTAACATGGAGAGCTGACACATTTAGCCAGTCACTCTCTACGAGCTGCAGAACAGGGTCAAGGGCAGCTTTCCTCCTCCACTGGCCACCCTCCATCTTCTCATCCCTTCATCCCCATGAGAGAATCCAGGAGCCAACAAGTAGAGCAATGAACTTTTCTGGGACAGTGTGCTCCGATGGAGTGTGTTAGAGTGTGTGTACGTGTAGTATTTAACAAGAGAATGACATCCTAAAAAGTTGGGCTTGCTGCCTAAGTTTGATTAGAAGATGCTCGATAAGCATTGGGAGGCAAAAATAAAATACTGCATGTCATGAATGAATGTGCTTGAATAAGAGGAAAAAACTAAAATCATGAGAGTTTCAAGATTTTTTCTGAAAAAAAGGAAGGGAAAATACTAAAAATATAATACAAACAACACATAACAGGAGCCTTGCAAGTCTGCGTGGGTGGGAGGCACACACTGTAATAATGCAGCACATATGGATGTCATATGTGTGTCATGGCTGAGAGTGCGAAGCTATTAATTAGAGATGTGTACCCAGGGCCCCCAGGGCCACACTCAACAGGAAGTGATGTCATCTGGGTCACCAGTAATCTATTCTACACAACTACTGACATGGTTAATACAATTAAATAGCTGAAAATTAGAATAATGCTAAGGGAAACAGGTGAAGGTCTGCCCTTTTACCTGTAGAATAAACCCACTGATCTGGTTCCACGTCTGCTGCACAGTCTGTTTGTATATTAAATTACAATGAGGATCAGCGAAAAACAAGCTGATTACTTCAGACACAGTGCAGTAGTAGTGTAATTTGATAGAATACAGTGGGAAAAGCTTCTTGCGTGACAGAAAGAACAAGGCCACTGCCACCTGTCCCCTGGTAGTGCTGGGACGTCCCACCTGGCCCAAAGCGGGGGGGGGGGGCCTTCATTCCCGGCCTGTCACTGGAGACACGACACCACAGGTGGCCGTTAACACCGAAGAAACCCACTCACAAAAGACGGCACATGTGTTACAGTCTCACAGAGACAGGCTAAACACAGACATCCACACTGTCACACAGAGACTCACACAGTCGTAAGATGATAGTGTTAATCTCTGTAGAATATTGCTGATCGTTCCCACTGCTGTTGCCATCTATGGTGCGTGCAGCTTCCTTGCTAGCCTCATGAATGCCATGAAAGCACAAATTGTCATTTGTAGGCAATATGTGAGTGGACTAATGGACAGATATACCAAATGCTTCAGACTGTACAGGACATATCCAGAGGGTTATGCTAACTGGCATGTTGAGAGCCCTGCGAGCATGCTGGCAACAAAAGCCAGAGGCCTGTGGCCTGTGGGTGTTAAAATGTAAGCTGGGTCAATTTTTCAGCCTGGCACTTCAGCGATCCTTGCTTTCTCTCAGCACAGGACGTGGTGCTAATTGTACCCGTGAAACCAGACCATGTGCAGCAAATACGCACACGCAAACAAAGTTCCATAACAAGCACTAATGGCATGTCGGACATAGCGATGGCCTGCTTCTGACTTCCATCCGCGCACACACGGCTGTAAAAGCAGCGAGCGCAGCCACCACTTTGTTATTGTTCATCCATATTTTATCAGGCTCCTATTTATAACTACATAGGTTTCTGTCAGGGGCAAAGTGAGAAGCAGAGTGACAGAAGAGAGGCAATGATATGTGTTTTTTTTCTGTGCTTTTGTCAAGCAGCTGGTGAACTCCAGACGATGGTTCATCCTAATTACAAGCAAAGTGTGGTTACAGGAGGAAGACCACATATGGTGGTAGGAATGAAACGGTTCATCCCTTCATTCCGAACGCAAACGCAGTGCAAAACATCCTTGAATGTTAGTATGTTTTCCTAACCTGCGTTAATCCTGGAACAATTTGATGAGTAAGCACAATCTTGCCCAGCAATGCTCTGCCTCACACACATGCATGTAGGAGAATTACATAGTACAACCTCTGTCTTCCGCTGTCGGTCGATGAATAACGGCAGCCATTTAGGGGACTCATGCCTGGCTCAAGGGCATAGCTATGGCACTGACTCACACATGCACATAGACTTTTCTAGGTGTTTCACAGATTTAAACTGATGACCTATAAAGACACAAGCTCACTTATTTAACCAGGCAGACATATACGCGTTTATAATCGGCAGGTCATTTTACATTGTCGTATCTTTCACATTTAGTCAGGATTTTTAAGCAACACTAAACACAAGTTTAGTTGTAGATAGGATTGTGCTTGACTGATAACAATCTAAAGACAAAAAGTATGAATGATGCGGAAAAATACAACTGCATTACAAACATACCAGCCATGTTCATCCATCATAACACTGACTCATCCGTCTGTGTGACAGGCCCCTAATTCAAAACGTTATTTTCCTTTCAAATTCTACCAGATAGACGGACTTACACTTTACTACAGAACACTGTTAAGATTAATCCTCAGAGAACTTCATCTGTGGGGGATTTTGCAGTAACATGTTCTTTAGTGCAAAAACTGCTAGTCTGTCCGGTGTGCATGGCGATTGGCGAGAGAAGCCTGTCTGTCACCCTGATCACTTTCTGTCAGTGTGCCAACTGTTTTGTGAATAAAAACAACAACATTAACATCAAACTAGTCCTCATAGGTAGGAAAACCTGATTTACTGTCTACATTCAAATTATGATTGCACGTGAATGCCAAAAACAAACCATACATTTTGAAAGGAATCTGACACAGGCATATCTTTGATGTGTACAGACAGTGCAAGGTAGCCACACCTAAACTGTTTACATGCTCATTTTATTGCAGGATAACTTGCTTGCTTTTGTATCATCTAACTTCGTGGTGTATATATCTGTGAGTGGAAGTAACTGATTGTATGGGCATCCTAAGGCCAAAAGGCACAGATTAATGCTTTCTGGGGGGGAAACTGTTTATTCTCTGTTTAATGGTTGTTTGGCTTCTTGTGATGACCAGCTTGAGGTCACAGAGTCCCTCAATGCTCCTTTGCTGTCTAGTAATAACACATCCTGCTCAATACAATATGATAGGGTGTAATGTTAGCCCGTTAGCATTTGTGCCACAATGATACTGATTGACTGTGGGGCATGTGTACTGTCACAAAGCAGCACTGAAGGAGCTCCTGCAGTGTCCGTGCTGGCCTTTATTCGGCGGCACCGTTGCAAATGTAGCCTAAATCAAAGAACAAATTTACCCTGAGTTCGTCCCTCTCAGCCTCCCAGCGGTATTTCTCGGCCTGGAAGCGTCCCCACTCGTACTGGATGAAGTGCAGGATCCCAGGAAGCGTCATACCCGAGTCCCCGTCCTGCAGCTCCCGAGCCTGCGACGATCCGGGCATGGCTCCGGCTGCTGCCGCCGCCGCCGCCGCTGCCATCGCCCCGGTCGCCGCGGCTGATGTCGCCTGGCCCGGTGCTGCTTTGGGCCCGTTTGGGTTGCGCCCCGCTCCGCTGCCGCCTCCGGAGTTCGGGTTTGGTCCTCCGCCGGATCTGTCCGCCTCCATTTTAACCGTTCAACCTTTCGCCAGGATAAGGAGGTGGAAACGGACAGAGTGTACGAACAACAATAATAAAAAAATAAAAAAAAAAAGTACCTCGTATCCTTATTCCAACCCAGCTGCACTTCACTATTAGTGACCCTCTTTTCTTCCTTTTCTCACACGCACAGAGCAAAATTACTATTCAGGTGGTAAAATACTACACTTCCGCTTTCTAAACCTTCACAATAAAACGCGATCAAGCTGCATATTTGCAACATCGTGTCATGTTTGGTTACCAATAAATCACATTCAGTATACATTCTTACTTGGAAACGTTTGTTAACGCCACGTCAAAATGTGGCTATTAAAAGTCTATCAAGCGAAATGAGTGTTAAAAATGTGGTTTGCGGCTTTTATTTTGTATATCCGGATCTGTTTCCGCCTCCTCGTGCTGCAAAGGTTGCCATGTTTGCTGCAATACACAATGAACGTGTCGCTAGGGGGGGTTATTTCCTGCCATATTGTGAGCAGAGATGTTTGAGGATAGTGAAGTTAGCCAGAATTACCCACAAATCTCCTGTTTGAGTCTCTATTAGAAAATCTCCACAACACAGATTGACCGTGATTTTGTTGCAGCAGCAGCTTTATGTATGGAGGCTGCTGCTGCTTGTGTGGTTTTACAAAACGGTGGAGAGTGTATAAATACTGGATGATAGGTATGTTCCTCCATATGGGCAAGAATCACAGGGTTTTGGTTTTTTTTTGCAGATTTGTAATTAATTGAATTTTAAAATAATAAAGGACCTCCCAAGCCCAGACAATATACATCCTCTGGTACTACTGAACATATTTATCTTCCATGGGTACCATCATTTTTAAAAAGCAACCAACCTTAAATCATTACATTTTGCTTGTTGACATATTATTAACATGTGGTATTATTAATCTTCATTTTCTCATTTTAACTATGTGGAAATACAGGACTGGATACAACAAATTAGACATACAGTGGTGTCTAAAATGGGCACCGTCTGCATGTGATAGGGCACTAACACACAGAAAGTCGAGATGCATTTATGATAAAAAAATGTTCTAAACCCCTTTCTAGCATGTAGGGCAGCTAACAGCACTCCACTGTGTTTTCTCCATTTTAAGGATCCCTTAGAGGGCACATTATTGCCAGTGTGCATGTACATTATAATTACATAATATCTAATAAATAATGAATTGCAAGGGTTCAGCTCTGGGTCCTGTGGCATCATTTTGCTCTAAAATAAGAACACAAGTGGAGTTAGGTAGCCATACATAATCTTCACTTTGTTTCCTATTATACTAGTGAAATATTTTTATTATTTTTGTGTTTTTACATTGTACATTGTATGTTGTTTTACATATGTATGCAATTACATATACAGAGGGAGATGTTCAGATCTCAAAATTAAATATTGTACAGTTAAAACGGTGGAGATTAAATTATTGTATAAGGATACAAAATAGTATTTTGACATGTTGCTGGTGCAGTTTTGTGCAACTGAAGGTTTTGTTGTTGATGTTCATTTTTTTTAAATGGCCCTTTTATTCTGAAGGATTAGAGCCGGAAGTCTTTCTGTTGTTGCTGCAGGCAACACAGACGGCAGGCGTCATAGCTTAATGGTAAATTCGTGCAGTTGGGTTTAATGGTTGAGCTTGTCTTAAGCTTCAGAGTAATGACATATTGTGATGCGATTTGTGTGCACTTAGTCGTGGATTTCTCCTTAAAATGTTGGAAACTCGATCTCAGCCTCAGCCGCACAGATATGAGCTAACCATGCAGATTAATGCCAGCAGGTTTGCTCCTGTGCTACCAGAGCTGGCTGAGGTGGACCACCATGAGAACCAAATATAGTTCCATAAGGTTAATGGGCTTAACGGTGCTAAAGCTTCTGATAACTTAATGCATGATGTGACGGGGTGCAAATGATTGCCTTGCAAATAAATCAAATAGATGCATCCAAATTAAGGTGAGTTGTGCTCATGGATTTTAGCAGCCTGTTTTGTATTGATTGGTATTGCAGCTAGCCATGTTTTATTCATAAAAGCAGAGGTAGCATGGCTGTCCTAGTTTTACGTTTAGGCTTAAAGCTACTGTCCTGTGTGTCATTTTAAAGTAGCATTAAATTACATTAGACAGTCAAAGTATCTGGCAAAGTACATCATAATCACTGCATCATTATTATTTCTGTCTTTCACAGGTTGTCTCCAACTCATCCCTCTTCTATGACACTAATGGGGACCTAAGATCCACCACTGGATTTCTAAATTAAAAACGTCTTCCCCTGAAAGAAACTGGAACATAAACATTAGTTGCCATGCGTATCAGTCTCTGCCAGGGCCTGCTAACTGGCGCCATCATCCTCAACCTCCTCATTCTCTACTATGTGTCCCGGGCCCAGCAGCAGATGATGGAGAAGAGGAAGGAACTTGGCAGGGGCACGAGGAGGGCTGCCCTACCAGCCTCCGGTCTAGGGGGCGGACTGGGTATTCTTGTAGGAGCCGGAGGTGAGCCTGGAGTGGTCGGAGTGGAGGGACACAGTCGTGGCCCACGTGTCACTGTTCTTCTTCGGGAGTTTGAGAACTTTGAGAATTATGTTGGTGATGTGGCTAATTCCTTCCTCCGCCAGAGACCTGAGCTTCCCTTCCTGGCTGTGGCTGACACGTCTCCGTACCCTCCCCTGGTGCTTCCAGAGGGCGCGCGGCTTCTGGTGCTCTCCCCCACCCCGGACCAGCCACCGCAAGCTCACAGGCCGGAGTTCCACGTCCAGACAGAGTTTGTGCTACTGGTGCCTGATGGGGTGGAGTTGGAGCAACCTCGGGCTATCGAGAGGCTGATAAGGGAGTTGGAAGGTGAGGGTGGGGGGCCTGTGAGGCTGGTAGCCGCACCCGTGTTGGCTCGATCTGCTGTGCAGTGTCTCCACCTGCGTGTGAACCTCAGAGAGTGGACAGCCACCTACTCGCCAGCTGCATCAGGTAGCAGCGGGAGTGTGTGTACGGCTCTGCAAGGAGATGCAGTTGTCCTAATTCGCACTGAGGATCTTTTTAACCTCTCTGTCCCTCTGGGTCGGCCCCTCTTCTCCTCGCTCTTCGTCCAGACTGCTTTGAGAAGTTGGAAGGTCAAGCTGCTGGAGAGCCCCTGTTTCTCCGCAAACCACCGGCCCCTCTTCAGCTCCGCTCACAACCAGTGGAAGGCCGACACTCGACTGAAGGAGGCCACCGGGAAGCTCATGAGGAGCTTTGGTCTGAAGCGCCTCCTGCTACCTGATGGGAAGGAGCAGTGGTATGGCTGCAGTAAAGAGACACCTCGCTGCTTTGGTACTGTGCAGGATGACACTCCGGACTACCTTTATCTGGATCGCTGGACACCTCCCTGCTGTCTGCGAGCTCTCAGGGAAACTACTAAGTATGTTATCAATATCCTGGAGACCTCAGGTGTGCGCTACTGGCTAGAGGGCGGGACTCTCCTGGGCGCTGTCCGCCATCAGGACATCATCCCATGGGATTATGACGTGGACCTGGGCATCTACCTGGAGGATGTGCCCAACTGTGATCACTTGAAGAATCTGGACTCAGGCTCTCTTGTGGATGCTAATGGCTACGTCTGGGAGCGTGCAGTGGAAGGAGACTTCTACAGAGTCCAGTACAGCGAGGCCAACCACCTGCATGTTGACCTTTGGCCATTCTATCCACGAAATGGTGTCATGACCAAAGACACATGGACAGAGCACAAACAAGACGTGGAGTTCCCAGAGCACTTCCTGCAGCCGCTGGTGCCCATGTCCTTTGCTGGCATTACTGCCTATGGCCCCAACAACCACCGAGCCTTCTTGGAGCTCAAGTTTGGAGAGGGGGTTATTGAGAACCCCCAGTATCCCAACCCTACAAAAAAGAGGCTGGACAGAAGCAAGTTATGAGAGATGATGGAGACTTATTCTTAGGTGGTACTGTATTTGTTTACCTAATAACAGCACAGAAAGTTTTTGAAAAACAGCCTAAAAGATGATGCCTGGAAACTAACGAGGTGCCAAAATGACTGCATTTGCTGTTAGTTTTAACGAAATTGAAATCAATACACTGGTGCATTTACATCAGGCAAACCTTACAGAGTCAAAGACTGGTTTTACTACATGGTGTACTAAATCTGTATGTGTTGTACAGTAAAGAATATGACTGCTATAAACATGATAAGTACTTTTAAATGATATTGATATTGGTTTCTTTTTAAAAGAAGGTTTTGTACAGAATTATTTAATAATACGTGGTTATGCCCATTACAGGTGTTTTATGAATTTCTTGACTGTGTTGCAGTGATTTGCACTGATTCTTTCAGTTTTGCACAGTTTATAAATGAATGTTACTGTATATCGGTGCCATTTGGTACAGCCGTGATGTGGCGAGTCAATTTCCACGTGGTAAAATGAGAAACACATCGTCATTCATCCTGTTATTCTTGGCATATGGATAGGAGGAAATGTTGCCCTATCAGGCCTTAGTATTCAGTATAAAACATCAAACTCTTGACTGATTTTGTAAATGAATATTAACCCTCAGCTCGATTATGTGTGTTTCTACTGAGCACCAATAATGTATTGACTCAAACGGAATTTCAATTCAGTAGATCATTCAAAGAAAACATTTTGTGCACAAGTTGCACATAGAAAACACACCAGCTTCTCTGGGTATGACATGTTTCCTGTAGTGTTACGTGTGTGTGTGTGTGTGGTCTGTGTGTGTGTGTTGTGTGTGTGTGTGTGTGTGTGTTGTGTGTGTGTGTGTGTCGTGTGTGTGT